AGTTGTGTGGTGTGGTGTGTGTTCTAAAAATAAAGCTCATTTCTTTTGACAAGTGGCTCCTGAATTGTGCCCAGCCAGACTTCCAGGAAGGACCTTTTGGGGTGAACTCCACTTTAACTGTTCAAAGGATCCTTCACCAATGTTCTACAGCTCCTCTATGACTATAGTTTGGATCACACCTCCAGGTAGAGCCACATATTACACTATTTGATCTAATAGGGACTTATTTGACTGTATGACTCTAAGTAGGGTTAGTTAGAAGAAAATGTGGTGAGGCCCACAGGAGGCGTGAATAAGAGTGAAGCTTTTACTTTCTTGGAGGGTGTGGTAGTATACTGTATATTCTCTTAGGGAAATTGCATGGAAATGGAAGGAGACCCTCATTGTTATACAAAATTACATATAAGAGGATGTGAGGGGAAAGGGGAAAAAAAAAACAAGGGAGAGAAATGAATTACAGTAGATGAGGTAGAGAGAGTAGATGGGAGGGAAGGGGAGGGGGGATAGTAGAGGATATGAAAGGTAGCAGAATATAACAGTCACTAGTATGGCAATATGTAAAAACGTGGATGTGTAACCGATGTGATTCTGCAATCTGTATATGGGGTAAAAATGGGAGTTCATAACCCACTTGAATCAAATGTATGAAATATGATATGTCAAGAGCTTTGTAATGTTTTGAACAACCAATAATAAAAAAAATAAAATAAAATTCAAAAAAAGAAAAAAAAAGGTCCTTCCTGGCAAAGTGTGACCCCAATTCATTTGTCCCTTAGACAGTGAAACATGAGACTGCTTGGACCCTGATGCCCCTTGCTGCTAAATACACTCAGCACAGTGACTCCCAGCAGATTTTAGGCTGCATCTGAAGTCCCAAGTGGGGACTGATCATGGTGGGTTGCAAGAAGTTTAGTGAACAATGTATCAGACGTTGTTCTGGCTTGGCTTCACTATTAGATGCATCCTCAAAGTGGAAATGAGGATTTTATTTAAATTCAAGCATATCATATTCCTGAAATAATAGAAATCTGTAATCTTCCAGCTTTTTCTCCCCAAAGCAGTACAAGACTCTTATCAAGGCATGTAGTTGTCCATACCCAGCTTTTAAACATCTGTCTCTCTGGCCTCTGGACATTTCCTAATAGTCTAAAATCTATATTCATTTTTTAAAGGACAACATTATGAAGAGATACTCACATTCTCTCGTGATTTACAGCTCTCTCCCTCCTTCACTACTTCTTTTTCTGGGCAAGAATCACGAATATGAACAATATTTAAGAAAAAAATTATTACATTTTGTGATCAAGATAAATGGTTTAAATTTTTCAAACATTACAAAAGTTCATACAATAAAAGCAAAGGCTTCTTTCACACTCACTGACCTCCCACTCTCTGTCACCCCAACTTTCTCCTCTTAAAGTCACTAGTTTTCTGTTTGTGTCCAGATTGTTTTTATGTGTATTCACACAGATATATAATATATATATATAATGCCCATACTCTTTTTTAAAATTCTTTTTAGTTGTTGATGGAACTTTATTTTTTTATTTCTTTCTAGGTGGTGCTAAGAATCAAACCCAGTGCCTTGCACATGGTAGGCAAGTGCTTTACCACTGAGCCACAATGTCAGTCCCCCATACTCTTTATACAGAAGAATTACACCATATTGCCTTCGGCATTCCCTTGAATGGTGTTTTGCTATCAATGGTATAGGAGTAACTGGACTGATGTGTTTTGCCACCTATTATACAATGTCCAACTCTAAACAATGAGGGGGGAAATGGTCCAGAGTCAATAGCTAATTTCTAAAGTTTGAGGAGCCAGTTTCAAATGAAACCAGAACTTGAATTTAGGACTTTAGAATTCACTTGTCCTACTCATTCAATAACAGTAAACCCCTTTCACCTCACTGATGCACTCTGGCCTTTCATCCAAGTCCATCTGGCCTATTGCCAGGGTCTTTTTGCTTGCTGACAAACAGCGGTCTCAGGGATTAGAGATGGAGGAGACTACAGGTTCTTTTCCCATAATCTCACTGCCAGGTGGAACAGTCCAACAAACACAACGTTCAAGTCAAATCTGTTACCACAAATGATTACTACCAAGGAGGCATGGAAAACATGGTACCATCTGTTCCGCAAACTCAGTGAAGTCTCAGCTCTATCATTTTAGGTATTTCCACATATACTCCACAAAAAGATTCAGTCCAAGACAGAGACCTACATGGAGAATTCACTCACCTTAGGTCAGAAAGCAGAGTCTTCTTGGGTTAGTCATGTGGACATAGCACATAGCAGTGTTCTAGGTCCAAGACCCCCTGGGATGTTGACTTCCTCACCCTCGTTCTTCTTCAGGGCAGAGCTGGAGCTGCCTAATGCTGTATGTTTGGCAATCCACTTAGTTGGAATGTAACTGGCTTCACAATGAATAATTATTTCTATCTCATGTGCTAATGAGAACTCTCCAGGCACAGATTTAGAAAGTGGCACTTGATGGGGTGGCCCCAAAGTTTGGAAGTTTGTAATGTTAATTTACCATGCTGATGATCTGAATTACTAGTTATGATATTCAAATAATTACTATTTCTAAGGTTTAAAGTTAATGTAAACACACACACACACACACACACACACACACACACACACACTTCTCTGCTTAAAGTGAAGAATTTTAAAACAAATTATAGATAACAAGGCATCCTAATCAATTGTCTAAGAATATGCCTCTTTCCTTACCCCATTCTTCATGCCAGGCGACCGAGTGGCAAACACAGAGATAAGGAACTTGAACTCTGGAGTCACTTGACCTGAGTCCATATGGAGACATTGTGTTTATAACTATGGATCTGCCAGAGAATTATTAGTTAACCTCTCTGAACCTTGTTTTCTTCTTTGTATAGTGAGGTTGACAAGGAGCCATGTGATGAGGCAGGCAAAACACTGAGCTCATGGTCCGATTATCACGATTTCATCATCTGTTTGTGTTCGTTCTTCCAAGTTTCTTTCTCCCAAGTTTCTCCATCCACCTCCTCCGATCCACTCATTTAGTCATATTGATTGAAATAATTTTTTAAGCATAGAGTGGAAAGCACTGGAGGATCCAGTGGTCAATGGGCAGGGTATCTTCCCACAGAAGCCCTCAGCCTCGAGGTGGTTCAGACTTCACCCAGGCTGATCTTGGTGGAATTCTATAATGTGTCAAGCACGGTGCTGAGCACTTTACATTTATTATCACCCTTGGTTTTAAGCCACCTACAAAGCTGATGCCCTTTTACAGAAGGTGAATCTGAAACTTTAACAAGCTAAGTGCCTAACTAAAGCTAGTCCAAACCCAGGAAGCTTGACACTCAAACCTGTATCACACCCCTTGGGTCCTCAGCTCTGTAAGCCCTCCTTCTCCCAAGTCACCGTGGAACTAACATCCAGTCCCTCCTATGCTTGCATTCTTAGAATTATTGATCTTAGGGCTGAGGGTATAGGTCAGTGGTACAGCACATGCCTAGCCTGTGTGAGACCCTGGCTCTGATCCCCAGAAATATAAAAAATATTAAATAAGTAAATAACTCATCTTAAAGAGAATAGTCTTATTTTTACAACTCCAGATGTTAATGTGCTTTTAGCATCCCCCTTCTTCCATAGCTTTAATAGATGCAGCATTGTGGAGGCCGCACAGATTTTGGAGCCAGACTGTTGGACTCAGCCACTTAATCTGCTGTGTGACCTAAGGCAAATCTCACAACCACTCTGTGCCTTAGTTTTCTCATGTGCAAAATAAGGGGTAATGCTATGTAACTAAGAGGTTATTCTGAGAATTGAAAAGTTAACATAAATAAGGTTATAAGCACACACTCAGCACATAATTAAGTGGTGCACAAGTGAAAGGCTTCATTATTCATCTTATATAATGTATTCATATTATACTTATGTATCACAGATCAAGGATCACCTTATCCTTCTTTATATCCTTGAGTCTAGACAATCTCAATCTTTCAAAAAAATGGGTGTTTTTTTTTTTTTTTTTTACTCACTTGAATGCAACAGGACTACTATTTCTTTTTGTTGATAAATAAAAATAAGATCACACCAGAAAATGACACTTTGCCTAAACTCCACGTCTTTCCCTTCTTCAGACATTTTCCTCCAACTCAGTCATCTTTAGAAAAGGGGAAAGTGTATTCCTCACCTGGGAGTAACTGAAATCCTAGAAACAAGGGTCAAGGAAAATTTTGAAAGTCTCCTAAGAAAACTTCTTTTTTTTTCCATTCTCATCTTCTGGTTTCCTATTTCTTTTCCTCCTCTTCTCCTGACTTTTCTTTATCCCACCAACGTTGGAGACAGATACTGTTATTCACAGTCCAAGTCCTGGAACTGGACACCCCTGACGTTCAGCTCTCTGATGTCGTTTATGGATATTGGAAGGCAAGGTCCTATGCCCCAAATCTCAGAGAAGAATGAGATTAAGATCTTGGCTTCGAGTTATTTTCTCTCCTCCTCAGTGTCTCCAGAGAGATTCTGCTCATCTCATCTCAGGTCTTGCCTGCCAGAAACCCCAAGTTTTGGGCTATGAATTTTAGCTTCCTACCCTCCCCGGCTCCTTCAGCCTCCTTCAGTCCAGAACAGAGGTTAAATTCCAAGGTTTGTAGGAGCAAACTCAGTGCATCTGTCCAGGATCCGGTGCGTTCTTGCCAAAGCTGCCAAGAGAACCACAACCCTGAACTGGCTGATCCTGAACTGGCTGATCCTGAACTGGCGGATCCTGTCTCCCTCTCTGTCACTGAAACCTGGAGTGGAGATGGGGAAAGGAACAGCGCGCGGAAGGGTGGCTTCGGAACCGAGCAAGAGTTTCTTGAACCCCCACGCACCCGGTACAGCGCACCTCCCCCAGGACCGGCGGGCAGGCGGGGTCCGGCAGGCGCCAATCACCGTCTGTGACCGAGCCTGCCCGCGGCACCCTGCGCAAATCCGCGGCGCCCGCTGGTCGCCACTGGGCACCCCGAGACCATGGGGAAGCTCGTGGTGCTGACCCTGCTGGGGGCCAGCCTGGCCTTGATCGGGGAGCGCTTACTGGCATTTAGGTGAGTGGGTATCTCGACGGGGGCGCCTTTGGCTCTCTTTGGTGGTCCAAGTTAGGTCAAGGGCGGCCCCGATGGCAGGCGCAGGTTTGAAACCTCACTCCTCAATCCCATCCAGTCCTCCGAGAATCACTTCTGTGAAAAGTGAGCTGTCTGTCTTTCCCAGGGCGATGGGGCAGAAACGCCCACATCTGTTTTCTGAAGACCACGTCCTGCTTTCCCAGGTCACCCTCAACACTCTGCTTGTGGAAAAGCAAACCCCGGGGGGACGCACCCGGACTTGGGGGAGGGGACAGGCCACCAGCTGCCTCTTTAGTGCTGACACAGTCATTGGACACCTGAGTGAACATTGAGAAGTACTAAGTTACAGGGCCCATCCCGGGTTCCAAGAGCGAGATCAACAGCACAGAAGAGTTGGAACACCTGCAGGTGGTAACTGGCATTTTGGAGGGATATGACCTTTTGAAGTGGAAGAACTCGAGGTGTTCCCTATTTCTCTAAGGTCTCAGGGAGTCAGCATTGGGCTCGAAAGAATTTTCAAGTAGTGACACGACGTATATGTTCCTGAATGGATCTAAATCCTCTGCTTGCCTTCAGCTGTCTTTGGATTTTTTTTTGTTTGTTTGTTTTTTGTTTTGTTTTGTTTTCATTTCTTTTCCTAAGTAGTAGTTGTTCTTCTCAGAAGTTCATGTTCACAATCTATTGAGATGTCTGGTGCCTGTTGGCGATACTTTCTAGTTTAGCTGAAGTGTTTATTGTTACATTTATTTCCAGAGTAAACAAATGATGGAATCATAAAATTACAATAAAGTCTATTTAAGGGTTTTTTGTTTTGTCTGCTGTTTGCTTTTTTTTTTTTTTTTTTTTTTTTGGTTGATCTTTGTTTTTCTTCTGGGTGGTGCTGGGTAGAGTTAGGCAGCACTCTACCACTGAGCTATACCACCAACCCTAAGGGGTATGTTTTGTAAGTGATTAAAAGGTAAGTGTAGTCTTCCCAAATATTACTTAGTATTAAAAGATAAGCCAAGTGTAGTCTTTCCAAATATTATTTAGTAAAATACATAATATTTAGAAGAATGCTTCACTGTGGAAATAGGAACACAGGACCCCAAAATAATTTGGCCAATTGTTTAAATGGCGGTCAGCTGAATAAATTTACAGTTTTGCAAACTAAGTCAGTATAAGCTTAAAAATAATACGATGAAAGTAAAAGTATGAGGTTTAACTCTTCAGAGACAAATTATGTAGAAATTATGGAAGCATTTGGTAGAGGCTGGGGGTGGGGGGTGGAGATCCAAAAATGCATGACCATAAAGGACGAAGGGCAGAAATGCAGACAATTATAATAGATAATACTTTAGAAAATTAAATAATACAACTTTGTGCACTTAAATTAATAATATCATTCAGTTACTCATACCATTCAATTGTGTCTTTTATTTGGACAGCAAGTATTTACCATGTGTAATCATGTTTAGTCTTTCAGCAATAACAGTAAAGTTAGCTGATGGGGCACATTACTCATATAAAGCCCATGTTAGGGAAAGACATAAATAAAAGGAGTTGCCTACTTGTTTGTTATGTCATTCATAAACTAGCACGAAGAGTCAACCACTCTTGAAGTACCTTGACTTTTGTATTGGGTTTTGTTTTCTACAGAGAAAGAATTAATGCAACTCGAGAATTGGAACCTGTAGAACTCCAGAACTGCTATCTCATAGAAGGACTTGGTATGTATGTGACAGCACCTACAGGGGCTCGTACAGTTTCTTGGTCACCATCCACCTAACTGAGCCTGAAAAAAATGATTTGATTCACTTACTTTTTAGACACTCGTGATGTGGCTGCTGCATCACCCACTTTACCCAAGCTATACCATGCAAAGTCTCCAAAATACCAATATCTAGGACTTGTTCTCAGCCTGTTTCCTTAATGACATATCTCTTGTCATTTGAAGAATATATTTGACTATTCCCTGGCTGTTCTCTTGCTGATGTTCCCTCTTTCCCCTTGTGTGGTATTTTGTTCTCTTGCCTTTCTTCTGTTACCTGCCCTTAGTTTTTTTCTCTTTTCCTTCCTGTGCTACTCCCTCCCTCCCTCCCTCCTCTCCTTCCCTTTTCTATTCTTTCCTTTTTTTTTCTGCCTCCCTCACTCTCCTTGATGAGAGTCTTATCTTCAGGTATTATTTCCTTCTACATTTACCGGCAAGTACCATGAGGAATTTGACTTAGCATTTACCCTGGAGAACCTCAGCCTACCTAGATGTCTTTCTTAAAAAAATTACTCTAAAATCCACAGTTAGATCCCCAACTTCTCAAACAGCAGGCCTTCTTTTCCCGTCAACTAAAGGGTAGCTATGCTTTTGACTCAATCTTCGAAGAAGTCTATTTTACATCTCTGTTGTTTCCCGTCATGTCCCCACCCATAGCCAGATCGTCTAGACTTCTGTGTGTGGTATCCCATCTTCAAGAGGCTTAGTTCAAAACCCAGGAACCGTTCATTTCCCCCTTGTCCCTCAGGATGCCCATAAGACTCAGGGGCACGTGTCTCCTCTGTACCCCTACGGGGCTGATCTCATCTACTAGTCACCCTCATACTGTTTATTTGGGATCCAAGCCTCTAATTTTTCCTGACATGGCTACTGGAAAGTAATAAAAAATCAGGATAGAATCTGCTCACCTCCCTGGGAACGTGTTCATTGCTTCTTTACCTTTAGTTATGAAAGCCTTCGTCTCTGCTGCCTGAAATCAGCTACTCATGTCTTTCCTCTGAGTTCTCACAGCCTTCAGAGACTCTGATTCATTCACAGCATCTACCACATGCGTTATTTTGTAGCTAACACTACAAAACAAATACTCGCTTTCACTCTCGGCTTGCAAACCCCTAAGGTCAAGGACTGTGACTTATTTATTGGTATGTGACAGGAAAGTTTATTTTCTGATATGAATTTGTATTTTATTTTTCTTGCTATATGTATTAAAAAAACCAAAAATAAACAAAAAAAAAAGGGGGATTCTTTTGGTTTGGGTTTTCTACTTCTCTTCCCACTGAATTTCTATAAAGGAGTCATCAGGACCTTGTTCTTTCCCATCTTAGAAGTGGTTGGTTTTGCCAGCCAAAAGGCAGAATGAAAGACAAACCCCTTGCTGATATTTGATTTTGAGAACCTGAGCCTCTGAAGGGTTCTGATGAAAAGGGATAAGAATATGTGGCTTTCTTTGAGTAGCAGGGACTCCTGCCCCACTGTCTGACAGCATTCTGGAGAGGCGCAGGACCTCAGAAGGAAGGATACAAGGTATCCTTAGGGAGGCTAGACCAAAGACACTGTGCACAGCATGCAAGTGGCAGAATTGTCTAAATCAAAGGGTCCCCATAGTCCTGGCAGCGAGCAAACTTACTGCTTGATTTTAAGAACCACCACCAAGGATCATTGCACAATCCTACCAGAGACCCAGTAATGCCTCACATTCAGTTTCCCATCAGCTTCTTGAAATAGAGGATCAGAGTTAGATTTAATTGTATTTGAAGAACAAAGAAATGTGACATTTACATACTTGTTTACTGTCTTGAGGAATAATAATCATACTTACTGCACATAAATCTCTCAAAAGACAGCAGCCTGCCGAGTTATTTAATGGGATAATTAGACTAGATGATTGCTAAGGTCTGGTCTGACTTTTAGATTGTAAAACTCTACCAAATTCCAGAAACTAAAACTGGAGTTAATATTGTGAGTCGCAGGTCAGTGTTCTGATTATCCAAATATTTTGAAGAAAATGAGAAAATAATTGGAAGCTGGATAGAAGCAGCAGAAAAAAAATAATGTGGTGCTGCTTTTTATATCTACTGTATATATTTACATGTTATATTTGAAGAAATAGACAAGTTAGGCTGACCATGGGTCATTTTTCACTAGGACAATACCCATATACATCTACAACTAAAAAGCTGGCTCATCAAAGGCTTGGAGCCTAAATGCACTCCATGGAATCCTCATCACTCATCTGTAGTGTAGGTGCTGCTGTCTACGCTGTACAGAATAGTAAATCGACACCTGGAAGAATTAGGCTACTTGCCCAAAAGTCCAGAACTAGAAGGTGACAGACCTAAAGTGGGAATCAGGATGGTTTTCTTCTGTGGCTTCATACTCAATGTCGTGTGATGCTACGTGTCTTAGTGACTCACAACACATTTTGTAACAGAAGCTCCAAGAAAATGTTGCAGCAGAAGAAAACAGAAAATACTAGCAGCTAGAATATTACTAAATATAGGCTGACTGGGGATTGCACCCAGGGGTGCCTAACCACTGAGCCACATCCCCATCCCTTTTTTATATTTTGAGACAGGGTCTCTCTGAGGTGCTTAGAGTCTCCCTACAATGCCGAGGCTGGGCTTTGAACTGGCAATCCTCCTGCCTCAACCTCCTGAGCCTCTGGGATTATAGACGTGTGCCTCCATGCCCAGCTGAGACCCAATTCTGTCTTATTGACTCACAACACATTTTGTAACAGAAATGTTACAAAATTCTTTGATGGTAGTTTTTATGAAGTGGTGTAGAACTACTGATCGACTTTAGGTAGAATGTAGACAGGAATAACAGAGCTCAAGGAAGTACTAATATGTGTTTTTTCAAGACTAGACTTTGGAGGTTAATTTTATATATGGGAGAAACTCTTCCTTTTTTGTTTTCCTTCCCTAATATTCTTTCTTGGAGGAAAGACTGAAAGGTGAAATATTTCTTCCTCCAGAAGGTGTACCCCATAGTTCTTTTTGTACTGTTGATCTTTTTGCGTCATGGCTTTGAAGGTCAAGGATTATTTTAATCAGGAAGTAACTTGACTGTCCTTGGCATCTGATCAAATGTTCACTTGAAATATAACAAGCTTTCTTAGGGCTGATGTGGGCAGCCTTTAATTTGGGGCCTCCCATCTTCCCTTCCACCTTTTTTCTCCTCTGTAGCCTCCCGTCTACAAGATTTGCTGTTACTCTATAGTGGATTCCATTTGTTTTCTTAGCCGGCTATCATAACATTCTCTCCAAACAGAGGAATAATAATTATAAAACTAAGTGATGATAAATTCTGCTGTGACCCTTTCTCATGGTGCCTATAGGAAATGAGTAAAGACATGAAGAAGATTAAAGATCATGCCAAGTTGTGGTAGGATTGATAGCTTAGAAAACAGTGGGTACCCTACTGTTCATAAGACAGATTTTTTTGGCTTAGCAGTGGGGTTTTAATGATGGTTGTGTGCAGATTAATGAGTGTTTGGGGAGAACTCAGAGGAGACTGTTCTGGGGCTCTTACTCCCACAGGAGCCCCTGTTGCTCATAGGAACTGGGCCCATCATGCAGATGCAGCATAGGCAGAGCTAAGGAGGGTGGTAGTTGATGAACTGGTAATTTTTTTATACTTCTGAATGCAGAGCACCAACTTCCTTGTGCTCTGGAAGGAGCGCAATACCTCCAAAAACTGAGTTATTGAAATAGACTTATGTTGTCTTCGGAGATATGTAAAGTGGTGTTTGGAAGAGAAAAGGAGCCCAACCAGAGAGCACACAACTTGAAATATCTTGTACAGTGGTTTCTTGACTTATGATGCAGGTTAAGGCTTGAGAAACCTATTGGAAATATCCCAAGTCCAACATGCATTCCATACACCAACCCACTGAATGTCTTGTGTTCGCTACACAGTACCCCATGCAATGTCAATTGTTTCCCCTCATGACCCAGTGACTGAGGGGGAGCTGCAGCTCACTGCCACAGCCCAACTTGGAGAGACAGCTGAGGAAAATCTCAGAATTCAAAATCCAAAGTAAGGTTTCTATTGAACACTTATCCCTTGTGCACCATTTGTTAATTCAAACTATTATTAAATTGGGCATCATCTGCATTTAGAAAATAACATTCCCTTGAAGTTGAACTTCAAAATGAGAAAAAAAATTCAAAAAAACCTATAAATGTTTATTTTGTTTATTAAGCCAACCAATTTTTATTGAAAGCGTATACATTGGAAAAGGTGGGTATTGTGTCAGATGGAAAGATACAACACTGAATAAAATACAGTACTTGCTTCTAGGAAGTTTTCTGTCTAGTAGGAAATTAACAAATGAATACAGGGTAGTTGCCTCGTGTGAGAAACGTCATAGTGGAGGTGGTCACCGGTGTCCATTTTAGTACATAAAGTGGATGTATTAGTAAGTAAAAATGGAAACCAGGAAAATTTGGGAAGGATGAGGGACTGCCTCCCATGCCCCTTCTAAGAGCCTGCGATCTTGGCCCAGAGGCGGGGGTGATGTGGGAAGGGAGAGCAGCCTGTGCCCAGGTATGTAGGTGGCTCTGGCCCATCTCACTAGCACAGAGGTGCCACAGCACAGCTGGAATGCAGAGATGATGGCAGGAGCTGGGAGAACTGAGACGGGGTCCCAGATGTGGGGGATTGAGATCTAGATCAAGGAGCTCGTGATTTGTACTGCTTCTTTATGGGGCCTCTGGAAGTTTTCAGGCAGGCAAATGACAAGGTCAACTCTGCAATTTAGAAATATGACTGTCAGCTACACAGAGAATGGGTGTATGGAACACAGCCAAACTATTGCGAAGCTATTGTACCAACCAGGAGGAAGGGTGGGGAGAAATTGGGGGAAGGGTGAGCCCTCCCCTTACTATCAAAAAAAATATATAAACTCCAAAGGCATACCCTTAGTGACCCACCTCCTCCAGCCATACCCTACCTGACCACAGTTACCACCCAGTTAATCCCTATCAGGGGATTAATCCACTGATCAGATTAAGGCTCTCATAAACCAATCATTTCACTCTGAACTTTCTTGTGTTTTTTCACACATGAGCTTTTAGGGACGCCTTGTATCACCATAACAGGTATTAAGGAAAAGGGAGGCATCAAAGATTGCTTCACATTTTCTGCTTTGGGTACTTGAGACAGACGTGCCATTCATTGGCATTAAAAAAAAACAAGCAACAACAAACAGTTAAATGGAACTTATTCCAAATCATTTTGAAACCTGTTGAATAAAAAAAAAAAAAAGAAAAGAAAAGAGAAATATTCAACATACAAATGACCACAGAACTTTACAGAATGGTTTGGACTTGATGGACTTGATGAACTAGATGTAGAGATAAGAGAATCAAGAGCATGTGGTGGGTGGAAGTTGAAGCCATGGGACTGGAGTGAACTATGCAAATAGCATGTGTGCTCTGCCATGAGAAAGAATCAAAGATCCTGGATACTTAGGAAAGAGGTGGGGAGGAGATTAAGGTGAAACAAACCAAGTAGGGGTATGTGATGATGCCAAAGAAACCCTAGAAAAGTAAATAATCTGTGATTTTTAAAATTTGACTTTTTTTTTTTAATTAGGGATTAACCCTAGGGTGCTTAACCACTGAACCACAACCCAGCCCTTTTTTATTTTTTTTATTTTGAGACAGGATCTTTCTAAGTTGCTTAGGACCTCACTAAATTGCTGGGACTGTCTTTGAACTTCCAATCATTCTGTCTCAGCCTCTGGGATTACAGATATGCACCACCATGCCTGGCTTAAAATTCCTTTGTTTTTATGTGCTGGATTCTCCCAATGTCTATGTCATTCCATGTGAAATAGCACTAAATCTTCCAGGCACCAAGATACTATGTACAGGTAAATCTTGATTAACCAGCATTTTTAGGGAATGGAAAGATCTAGTTAATTTATTTTTCATATTTCTAATTGGGGATTAGTTTTGACCTTCAGTGTAGTGAATAAACTTAAATCTTTCTTTTCTAGTTTTCAATGCCTATTACTCATAATTTTATTGATTCAACTTTGCATTTTTTTTTTTTTTTGGTTTCGTCCCACTTTCATTGCCTAGATTCTCCCCATTCTCCTTCAATTGCCAAGTGACAACCTAGTAATCCATTTCCCTAGGTAACCTTTTTCCACAAGTTCTAATCTCTGTTTATCAAACCACCTGAAAACCTAGTGACATAAAAAAAAAACCAGTTATTTCACTATGACTATAATTCATAGTTTTATTATGGTTCTGGGTATTGAACCCAAGACATTGCTTAAGTTAGCGAAGTGCTCTACTCCCTGAGCTATACCCCAGCCCTATGACTTCAGTTTGGACAGGACTTGATGGGGACATTTCACCTGCTCTATTTGCATCCACGAAGGCAACTCAAGAGCTGGGAACAGGAGTCCTCTGGGGCTCCTGTGATATCTCTCTCTCCACCTTGTGTGGTTTCTCTGCATTCTTTCCTCTGTAGCTTTAGAATAAACATATTTCTTACATTTCAGTTCAGGGATCCCAAGATGCCTTAGGAGAGAAAGAGATAGAATTGATAGACATACAGATACAGAAAGACCATGAGTTTGTGTTTCCTTGGGCAGCTACGGCTAGGATACTTGGCCTTGGATATGGCATTATATTTGCTTCATTTTGTTTGTAAAGGCAATTACAAAGGTCTGCCTAGGCTCCAGGGGAGAGATAATAGATCTTATCTCTTAGTGGAAGAGGGTGTACCTCACGCTTTTAAGAACATATGCCCATAGTACACATTGATTCTGATATTTGTAGAATATAGTTCACCAACCTAGATGCCCATTGCCTTCTGTATCAGTCCTGCTTGCTTAGGACCAGGTCTTGAGTGGATCTATCTCCCTACCATAAACCATGCCAGCCCCTTTTTCATCTTGTTCTCAACCAAAATTTCTATCTTATATGCTTCTTTCCATGGGAAAAAAAAAGCTCAAGAGCAGTTCTCAATGAGATATCTGATTAAATTCTTTCAAATTCATTTATACTCAATAGTTTATCCTAAGACCTATAGCTGTTTATAACAGAAAACAATTATTTAGTAATTTCTCAATATGCTGTATAATGATAGATTTTGGGGGACTCAACAAGCTCAAAGAGGAGGAATGCTTCAGAGAGAGGCCTATAAGAGAACTTCTCAATTATGACTTTCCAGATTTTATCATTCAGTCTGTAGACAAGCCTTCTATGTGGAATAAAGCCGAATCTCTCAGGACATAGCCTGAAAATTGTTATTTCAAAGATAAATCTAAGATAGAAATTTATTTTCTAGTTATTTACCTTTTATCTTGAAAATTAGTTCTAAAAAAAGAATGTAGTATTTGAGGAGTCTGACTCAGGCGTTCTTCTACAGTAGCATGCCTGTGGGATTCCTGAAAGTTAAAACTATATTAGAGTTTCCCAAGTAAATGGTTGAAAAGTCAGTGTACTTTCTAAAAGACATTCAAAGTTTGGACTAAGAGATTTATTTTTAAACCTTCATATATGCATCTTTCTGATTTTTTTTTTCTTTTCTTTTCTTTACAGAAAATGGCTCTGAAGATATTGATATACTTCCTAGTGGGCTGGCTTTTATCTCCAATGTGAGTATATCCAGGCTGTTCTGATGCTCACATCAATAGTTGTATAGACAGTGCATTAATGTTGTCAGCTAGGGCTGCCAGATGGACCCCATACTCTCATCCCGCCTCTGGGTAGACAAGTCAACTAAAAAAGCCCAAATAGGAATCTGGAGGGCTAATTAGAACACCACAGGAATGCCCAGCTTTGACTGCCCCATGCAGGGCAGTTCCCTGTGGTCAGCTGCACACTCACTACGATCTCAATAAATGTGTATTGATTTCCATTTGATTCCCAGGCTGATCTTCAGATCTGTCCTGTTGCTGACCGTCTCCATCATTGCCCTGATGGATTGGGTCTGTTTCCGGTAGTCATCTTCTCACAAACTCGTATTCTTTTTGCTTGCTTATGTTTGGAGCTCTGTGTTAGTGGATTGAATGTTAACTCAGTTCAAAACCCTGAGCACTTTTCATCTTAGAGTCTTTGCCATTCTTTCCACGTCATTCAAACAGAAGTAGAGAAGAACCTACATTTTGTTTCTAATACCACCGTTCTGAGTTTGGAATGATCTCGAAATTATGCCAGCGACTGAAAATCAATAAGCAAAACCATTGCATCCTTGTGAAATGTTGAAAATTATCATGTATTTGTTAAGTTGGAATGGGTTTTGAGATTATCATGCACTTGTACATATTGGAATTGGGTTTAAGATTTTGAATAAGTGGATTTATCATATTTTTAATGTGAATGAATTTTTATTGCTAGAATTAAATGTCTGATATTCCATTTGGCCATTAAAAATATCACAAGAGAACATGAATTTTAAATCTAAACATATTTGGACAAAAATGAGGCACCTATGTAACCATGTCCTGAAATTCTAAATTCTGAATTATGCATGGTAAAGTACAGGGGAGGTCTCATTTGGATTTTAAACCGCTGGTGGTGGCATTTATGGTTGGGATTTTATTTCTTTACTTTTCTTCCAAAATCAAAAAAGAAAAGATTTTACTTTGTTGACCTAAATTTCCTATTGTCAAGCTGAATTTTTAGTGTTATGCCAAACAGACCTTCAAAAATGATGATTCTGTAGCTAGGAAATTTCTTTGCTATTAGGAAATAATGTTTGTTATTACTCCTGTATTTTTTTTTCTTTTTTTAAATTTTTTATTTATTTATTTATTTTTTAGTCATACATGACAGCAGAATGAATTTTGATATATAATACATACATGGAATGTACATACATCAATCATATTGTCTGTATTCTTTTTTGTTTGTTTTCACTGTAAGGAAGCTTCAAAATTATTACTGGGCAGAAAGAAGATATTTTCATCTCAAATATTACATGAGGAATGTTAACATGAATTTCTGAATAATGAGTCTCTTTTTTCACACTAACAAATAACTTATTCTTAGAGGCTAAGGATCATGCTCTGGTTATTTCTAATCTTTCTGTGCTGTAACACATTCAAGATCTTGTTCTTGTTGGTCTCTCCTTTTCACCTCTTCTTGCCATCCCAGATGTTTGGAAGCTACAGATTTAGGGAGTAATTTTGCACAGTAGATATTTTTAGTCTATTCAGAGGTGCCAAACAAGATATTTTCTTCCCTGACTTGGGACTTGGCATGCTTCTCTTTGCCGGCAAGATTACTCTCCTTCACACTTTGCCAGCTAACTCCTGTTCGTGGACCTCACTGTGGTGACACTCTACCTCCTCAGGAAAGTCTTCCATAGCACTCCCTTGCTGGATGGACTCTCTTCTATGGCCCCCCATGTCCTCTGAACTTTAATGCTCTCATATGCCATACATCCTGATGTACTGGCCTGTTGCTGCATCACTAGACTTCAAGTTTCATAGAACCGGGACTTTGAAGTGGTCATTGACATACCCAGCACCTAACACACCCCCTGGCATAGGTGGGTACTTGAATTTTCCTGAATGCATGGGGTGGTTAATGAGAATAGTGGAGGATTTCGATGATTGTCCACACATACCTGTAGTCTGTTGTGGAAAACAAGCTGCCTGCATCTCCAGATGATTGTCACCATTTCCATGGGTTTATTTATAGTATGCAAAGAGTTACCTTTCATCACTAGCACACAGTAGGACTGCTGCCACTAATTCTCACCTAACTTAAACAGAAACCATGGTGAGTGTGAGGCCTTTTATCAGAAAGGTTTTATTCATTGTTACACTTAATTCAGGCTGAGTCATTTCTAGAGCACCTAGTCCTTCCCCTAGTAGGCAGTGCCCTTGTCTGTCTCCAGGCTACCAAGGTGTTTACAGAGGTGTACTTGAGGTATCTTCCTGAGCAATATTCTCCACTCTCAAATTTTTCTTCCTGCAGAAAGAGGCAGAACTTTTCTTCCTGGCAGAAAAAGGCAGTACAGTGAATGATCAGGATGATTTAGGCAAATCTTTTCTCTGCACTTCATTTTCCTCAGGTGAAAGGGGACGTAGAGACTAGATGTTCACGCTCTTCTTCTTCCAGTGCTCCCATTCTCTAAGCTACTAGGCCTGGAGACAATTGGCTCTGGAGATAGAATGGACTTGAAGATCGAATGTTATGAATGCCTGATATTGTAAGAATGGTGATGTCCTTAAGAGAAGAATAAATATCCATGAGAGAAAGAATTTAACAGGAGGATATTTACTTGGATTTTGACAAATTGATTTTGAGCTGCCCTTAGGTGGTATTTGGTATTTGCTAGAGCACCAAAAAGACAGGTTATAGGTAAACATGCATTTGAAAGTCATTAGTGCAGAGGAGATACCTGAAATCTTACGAATGAGACCTACCAGGAAAGAGCAAGTAGGGAAAAGAGATGGAAGAGGACAGAAGGAGGAAGAAATCCAAGCGGGGAGGAATGGAAGCAGTATTCCTATCTCTAAACTCTATCTTTGACTTTTTGACATATAATGTCAAGTACCTCAGAGATGCAAGGAAGGAAAGATAGAAGGGCTGTCAAGTAAAATATTTTGGAGACCATTGGTAGAACTTCATGGAGACATTTTTACAGCTGGCAGGAGCAAAATGCTGATTTCAGGGAATTGAGGATTGGAGCAAATCAGGTGATGTTTCTGAAAAATTTGATGGTGAAGGGAAGAGAAATAAACATGTATTTGGAGTAAATTTAGGAGATTTGTTTCAAGGAAAGAGAAATATGAGAATTTTTTTTCAGGCCAAAGAAGAAGCTATTGGTGAAAAATGAGTAATACAGCAAGAGAAAGAGAGAAGTCATGATTTCTAAAGACAGGCCCTAGAGAACAGGGAACAAGCAAATAGGTGGAAGATGTCAATGTAACAATAGAAGAGGGAGGTTTCTTCCTTGAGAAAAGAGGGAGAAAGGAAGAGAATGGGTAAAACTGAAGAAACCGAGAGAAAAAGTAGGTAATTGGGAAAAAGTGGTGTTGTCTTTTTAGAAGAGTAGGAGATAACACTATCCATTCAAAATAAAGAGGAATAAGGAATATTTAGCAACCACAAATTTCAATTTCCTCTATAAATGAGGAAACTAAGCAGTAGGCTTGCCAAGGGACATACACAAAACAAAGCAGTCTGGCCTTTTGCTTTATAATTTTTGTCCTACCCTTTCTAAATTAAAAATGTTTCCTTATCTTGAATACGGTTCTTTGCATATCCATAGCCAATGCTGAGATGACATTGGTAACCCACAAATCAGATAAGGGCAAGAGCTGACCATGTCGAAAACCTCAGATATCTAAATGAATGTAGAACTCTGAACATTTTTGTTTGGCTTTGAGATTTTTAGCTTCCACATGAAAATGTTATTTTAATATGTATATGTGTGCATACCTATTCTCTATTTTTTAAAAGGGATTAAAATATCCAGGCATGCCAGATTTGGCACCAGATGCGTCAGGAAAAATCTACTTGATGGATCTGAACGAACAAAACCCAAGGGCACAAGCACTGAAAATCAGTGATGGATTTGACGAAAAATTTTTTAATCCACATGGGATCAGTACCTTCATCGACAAAGGTAAAGCCTGAATGATTAAGGATGAGGGGAAATTAAGGAATTAGAACTGATGCATTACCTACATTTATGTTAAAGAAAAGGGCAGATGCTATACAATATTTGTAAAAGTCTAAATGTGTATAAAAACATTTTTTAACAGTGCATCAAAGAAGGAAGACTAGTATTAGGGCTCCTTGTCTCTCTCACCTATCTACTTCTTTACTTATCTGACTACCATAACCTCTTTGTATACTGTTCTCAGAAATCTAACACATAAACTGAAGCCCTTTTGAAAACAATTGTGTGGCATTAAAAAGACATAAAATAAAGAATAGATAAATTGGACTCATGAAAATTAAAAACCTTTCTGCCTCAAAAACACCATCAAGATTTTTTTCTCTTAAATAATTAACATTTAGCAAGTTAATAAATAAAACTGAAAATAAATATTGGGTAAGTTATAATATTCATTAGAGTTTCAGTAGTGATTCATTATTTTCTATATATAAAATGGCATTTGACACATTTTGGATTAAATAAGAGCTTTTAACTGATGGTTTGTGGCTGAGGGTGGCTTCTCAGAGAAGGACTGTAGAAAGGAAATATTTGAGAAGGTAGAGAAAAGGGTGTGAATAAAGGCATGGAAGTAGTAATATCTATGATGTTCTCAGAAAACATTAAATTATTTATTTTGAGCAAAAAAGAAATACCATAAAGAGAGTGAAAAAGTGAAAAGAATGAAAAATAGTATTTGCAAAATAATATATCTGATGAAAATCTTGTATCCAGAATACATAATTTTCCAACTCAACAACAAAAAGACAACACAATTTAATTGTGGTCAGAGCCGGGTGCAGTGGTGCCCATTTATACTCCCAGTTACCTGGGAAACTGAGGCAAGAGGATGGCAAATTTGAGGCCAACTTAGGCAACTAAGCAAGACCCTGTCTCAAAATAAAATAAGAAGTGATGGGTATGTACCTCAGTGGTACAACACGTGCTTAACATGAAGGAGGCTCTGTTAAAAAAAAAAAATGGGCGGAACAGAGATCTGAAGACATTTCTCCTAACAAGCTATGCAAATGTCCAATAAGCATGTAAAAAGATGTCCACCATCTAAGTCACTCAGGAAATGCAAATTAAAATGAATTACTTCTTCACAACCATAGAATGATGATGATGATGATGATAATAATAATAATAATAATAATAATAATAAAAAGACCTTCAATAACAGGTATGGGCAAGGCCGTGGAGAAACTGGGACCATCGCACTTTGCTGGTGTAGCCACTTTGGAAAGCAATCTAGCAGTTCCTCAAAATGTTAAACATAGAGTTACCATTTGATTCAGCAGCTTTGCTCCTCAGTGTGTGCCTAAGAGAAGTGGAAACATACACACAAAAACTTGTACCCAGCTGGCACAGTGGCACATGCCTACAATCCCAGCGGAATAGGCAAATTCATAGACGGAAACAACATTGTGGTTGACAGAGGCAAGGGGAGTGGGGAATAGGGAGTGACAGCTAATGGGTATGTGGTTTCTTTTTGGGAAATAAAAATGTTCTAGAACTAGATAGTGATTACAGTTGCACAATTCTGTGAATGTACTAAAACACACTCAATTTTACATTTTAAAAGACCAAATCTAATGATATGGGAATTATATTATAATTATAAAAGCACAGCATAGTTAAACCATTGTGATACTTTAAAAATAGCATTTTTCAATATTATATTTGACTTGTTCATAGTTCATAATTCCAAACTAATTTAAATTTTATGTATGTGTGTTTCCATTAAGCGATAGAAAAAAGAATGGTGAAACATCACTAGCAAGCAGGGCACGGTGGCATACGCCTGTAATCCCAGCAGCTCAGGAGGCTGAGACAGGAGGATCAAAAGTTCAAAGACAGCCTCAGCAACAGTGAGGCGCTAAGCAACTCAGTGAGACCCTGTCTCTAATAAAATACAAAATTGGGCTGGGGATGTGGCCCAGTGGTTAGTGCCCCTGAGTTTAATCCCTGTCCCCCCCCCAAAAAAAAAAAAAACAAATCAATTATTGTGTCCATATAAAGAGAAGAAAAATTTGTAGGTATAATTCAGAATTTAAAAAAAAAACATTTTAATTTTTCCAAATATCTACTGGAGTTCCAATGAATTGCTAAGTGGAAATTGGCTGAGGGTGATTTTAATGAATAAAAAAGAATGATCAAAGATTGTTTCTACACACTCATTCAATGTATCTTTGTTCAATTCCTTTGGTCTACACTAACATAAATTTGTTCATTTTTTAAATTTTTATTTATTTATTTTTTAATGTGGTGCTAAGAATCGAACCCAGTACCTCACATGTGCTAGGCAAGTGCTCTTCCACTGAGCCACAACCCAGACTAAATTTGTTCATTTTCAAATAAACGGAGACCTCTAAAATGTTTGAACACTAGGCTAGTAAGTAGGCTAAATAATCCCTGAAATCTTCTGTGTTACTTGATTAACAAGCCTTTCTTTAAAAGATAATTGTGCCCAACAGTTTTGCATTGCTTTATAGTTTACAAAGCATTTTCATCTATTCTAGTTTATTTTTAAAAATAAGATCCTGGGCCCAACCTGGACACTCTATCTTTCTCTGACCCATTCAGTCAACTCATTATAATGTTCTGGCTGATGTACCTTTCAAATATCTCTGCAATCTGCCCACCTCTCCCCATCCTGCTGCATCAGCCCAGTCTAAGCTCTGAACTTGACTTCCCTGGATTTTTGCATTAACTCCATTACTGTACCTTCCTTCTTGTACCTCCTCCATACATTTAGCAAGATTTATTTCTATACAAATATGATTGTCACTCCCTTTTTTAAACTCTCCATTACTCTGAGGATAAATCCCAAATCTCCAGAACAACCTGGGTTCCTGGATGCTTCCCCTACATATTCTGGCATCTGTGTGCTGAAGATGGAGACATTTTCACTGGATACAGGTTCTCTGGACCAGCCAAGTTGAATTTCTTTTAGTCATACCCATGCCTTAGGGTCTTTTCATCTGCTGTTTCCTTTGCCATGAATGTCTTTTCAGCACTTCCGGCTTTACTCCTCTTCATCATTCAGGTCTCAGCTTATATTGCCTTCCCAGAGAAGCCTTTCCACCATCTTGGTTCAGGTTGCATACCTATCATATTTCTTCTCAACACTCATCAAAGTGATCACTAATGTAAAAAAACAAAAAACAAACAAACAAACAAAAATTTTCTTTCCTTCTCCTGCTATTGCTCTGTAGAAACCTCTTCACATCTTCAGATCCAAGCTTAATAGTCACTCTTGAGTGGGTGACACTCTATGAAGAAGGCACTCTAGTGTTCTTTGTCTTTTGTTTATCTTTGTCTTTCCTTGTTTTCTTTAAATTATAATCACCATCACCATAAAGGCACAGGTTACTTGTTCATTGTTGGATTCCTGGCACATTATCTGATGTACAGCAGGTACTCAGTGAATATGTGTTAGAAGAATAAATGAATGGATCCTGCAGGACAGGTAGAGCACATGTTAATACTCAATTTTATAGATGGATAAAATAGAATTGAGAGAAGAGCAATGAAGTGTGACTTCATTTCTATTGTTACTAACTGGCCAATCGAAAACTGGGATCAGTAGTCTGTCTTCTAATCCTGTATCTTTTACTGGGGTGAATTAGGGCATCAAGCTCTATTAAAATAATCCAAAAACCATAACACTTTTGCCTGATACTGTGCTACATATAAGATGTTTCATGGGAGAAGATGTCCTAAATGAACTTAGCCTGGAGCTACTTCACTGCATAGGATGGTGTTAGAAGTAGAGTTTTGGGGAGAAAGAGGGGGTAAGGGGTGTTTTGTTTTGTTATGAGACCAGTGAATAGATTAACTCTTAGTCATATAATCAATTTTCCAGAAGTTAAGTGTGTTATGATTAACAGCCTATGTTATTTATTAGTCCCCTGCCTTTATTTTGTATTTAATTCATATGACCAAAACGTTATACATAGAACTAGGGATGAAATGAGGAGAGAGAGAACAAAAGTATCCTCACTAAGCATAACTTATATGGAAAGAAGGCTCAAGTAGAGATGCTAAAAGGGGTAAAACCAAGACAGCATGAATAGTTATTCACAATTCTGTCCAACAAGAGAGTCTGGTTCAAAGATTCAATCAAAAGATTGTTTGAGGGTTGAAATCCAATCCATGTTCTGTTTGCCAAGTCTTGAAACACATCTGGGTCAGACCAAAAGATTCACCTGTGAGGGTGCACCTTTCCTTAATTTGCATGAGAGAGCCCAACTTGTTTCAGAGACCCTGAGTATAAACTTTGCATCTCAGGTTTAGGCTTGCTCCATCATGTGATTGGAAACTGCATTGAGGAAGGGAATAGGGAAGATGAACACATAACAGGTCCTGTAATGGGAGAATGGAGCCAGTCCTTCTAAAAATCCAGAGCTCATCAGACTTAGAGCTCCTGACGGTCCGATAACAGTGCTCTTTGAGGTCAGCTTGCTACCCTCAATCATACATTCCAAAGTGAAAACAGGTAGGCTAACATTCTTGAGGTTGATAATACCTGGAATAGGCTAGTTTTTCTTCGACTTTCATATTTACATTCCATGTCCATTGGGTTAACTAAATGTTGTTATTGCAACCTCAGGTAGTTGACTTGTAACAGAAGGTCATTGTCTAGATGGGAAATATTGCTTATTTGAAGGTATTTACACTGCCCTGACATTTTTTGAACTTGCATTGTACCATAGACAATTGCCACACACATAGACATTTCTCAGTAAAGTTTTGTTTTTTGCACTCAATTATTGAAGGTCACCTGGAGAAACTACACCCATGTTTATGCACCATTGTCATTCTGTACCTTCCTGTTAGTATATACATGTGAGGCTCAAGAGATCATTGCACAAATATCTGTGATAGGCTCTGCCACTTGATGATGGTGAAATTGCTGAGTCACTCCTTATCTTAGCTTCATTTCCAAAATCAAAAACAAAAAAAAAGTAGAGATTCTAGTATTTGTGTTAATTACTAATCAGGTACTGTGAGGCCCAAAAGCAATATCATGAAGAAAATCTATGCAGCAGGCACAGTGGTACATGCCTGAAGTCCCAGCCATGAGAAACATTGAGGCAGGAGGCTCACTTGAGGCTGGAAGTTCAAGACCAGCCTGGCAACATAGAAAGACCCCATCTGAAAACAAAAACCCTCAGAGGTGATCAAGTTTTAAAACAAGTCTAATAATGGTTGCAATATAGGAAAACCTCTTGGAAAATTATGCTTTTTCTCCCATTTAGACCACACGGTGTATCTCTACGTTGTGAATCATCCCCACATGAAGTCCACTGTGGAGATATTCAAATTTGAAGAACAACAACGTTCTCTCATACACCTGAAAACCATAAAGCACGAACTTCTCAAGAGGTATAGAATTAAAGTATTGTGTACTTCTATTTATTTTGTACCTCCACTGTATGCTTTGTTTTCTTTGATTCTGCAGGATTTCTTAAACTTTTGTTTTGTAGCATTTTTTTCTAAAGCTCTCTTAAGATTCCCATGGTGACACTGCCCAGCACCTCACTAGAAATTGCTGTGTTCAGTATTGAATATCCCTATATTTTCCAACTTTTTGAAAGCATTTTAATCCCATAAAGGTGCTCAATTAGATTCCCAGCTCTAATTTCATCCTCTTTACCACAGCAACTCAATACCTTCCATTGTGCTCTCTTTAAACACCTACTCCCTTCTCCAGTTGTCTGGGTAGGTTGCATTCTGTAAGCCTCACCCACTGGGTGTTATAACCAACCTCCAGATGGGCCATTTCTTTGTTCAATCAGAGCTTTCAAGTAGAATTTGAGAAAAGCTCATAGGCACTTACAAAATTATATCTATTAAGAGTTGACTGTGTACCAGACATGATTTAATTCTCTCAACAGCTTAATAGCTTTTAGTCATAGGCATGAGGAAACTGAATCTAGTCTTGAAGAAGTTTTGGGATAGGTAACTTTCTCAAATTATACAATTTAAAGCTGTCATAACCATGATGCAAATCTAGATCCATCTGAATTCAAAGCAAAGTTTTCAATTGCAGCAATGAATGTCTTTCTCATTACGTTGAGAAAAATAGGTGGTTTTTTTTGGGGGGGATGGGCTACCTATTTTAAGTGTGCTACAAAACAATGAAGAATTTTTCTTATGTAAAATAGGCTCAGTGCTAAAGGACTGGTTTTAAAATAATAAAGGTTGACTTCTCCATGAGACAGAAAAACAAGGAAAGGAAAGGAGGAACTTTCCTCTCCTTTGCTGCTTTTCTCAACATCAATTGTGAATTTCTCCCTATGGAATTTGAAGGCAATAAAAGCAGAAGTTAGAGAAGTTGAGATTATTAAACTTTTCCCATAATGCATTGTGCAAGGTTCTGAGCCACAGTGGACCAGGACTTTCACAGGGTCGCTGGGAAACTGTGGACAAGGAACTTAGTTGGTGATTCAATTTTCTTAATAAAATGAGAATTCTCTCATTGACCTGATTTATCTAATTTGTGGATTGTGAGGATCAAATGCAATAGCAAATGAACTCACAGGAAGAGTTCAAGAAAGCACAGCCTGAAGACAAAACCTGGTATGTGACCACTTTATTAGGGAGCTCAATTCCAGGACGCACATGTCAAAGACCCACCTGAAGCAAGACAGGGGGAATGTTATGAGCTGAATCATGTTCAGTAAAAGAGATAGGTTGAAATCCTAATCCACTGTATCGCAGAATATGGAGGTAGGGTCATTGCAGATGCAATTAAAGGTGAAGTCATACTGCAGTGGGGTGTACTCTTGGTATCCTTGGAAGAAGACAGATACACAAGGGATGCCAGGGACTACCAGAAGCTGAAGTAGGCAGAAAAAGATCATTCCATAGAAACTTCAGTGGGAACATGGCCCTGCCAGCTCCTGGATTACAGACTCCTAACCTCCAGAAATGTGAGGCAAAGATGTCTGTTGTCTTAAGCCATCCAGTTGGTAGTACCTTGTCATGACAGCACTGGGAAACTCATATATGGGGAGAACTGTAGCAAATCCATTTTCAATCCAGCCTCTGCTAAATACAATGGACTGCTTGAAATGATAGGCTTATCTCTAGTAAGCAACATAAGCCTCATTTCAGAACAATCGGGCGAAGATAAGAAAGAGAAAAGAGCTTATCCACCCGCCTCATCTCCCATTAGTCATAGGTTTAAGAGGTTTTACCTCCATGACCTTCCATGTTGTGCATATGCAAGTCTAGTCGGGTGATATCCTGTGCTCTGATGTCATGTTGGAAGGCCAGAGGTGGGAGGCAAGAGGCCCACAATAGGCATGAGGTAATTAGGCTGCCCCTGTGGGCAACCTGTTAGATCCCACACAGAACTGGTTGAAGTAGAGCTCTGCTGCTGGAACAAGGCAGGTAAAGAGGAGTATGAGAGGTACCCTGATACCCACACAGACCAAGTAAGTAAAGGGGGCAGAACAGAGAGCTATGGAAACAAATTGTGAAGGAATTTAATTTATGGTGTCAGGTAAGACGTTAACATAATTTATGGTGTCAGGCAAGGATTTTTGGAAGAAGGACCCTTTAAGCAGAGATATGAAAGATGAAAAGCCCATTGACCTTGGAAAAGTTATTATACTTCAAAACCTCAAAGAATTTCCCAATTCCTCCCAAATTTCCTGTCCTAAAATTTAATCTAAAAATCTTTAATCTTTCTTTTTTTTTCAAGTCACTATTTTTTTTTTCTTTTTCCAAAATGGAAATGGTTTTACCATCTTTACTGGTTGTAAGCATAAGGCTTGCTCCAGTTAAGAATTTTAATGATATTGAAGGTCAAAAGAAGGAATATCACCTGCAACTCATTCTATTCAGGGAAAAATATAAGGACCAAGATGGATTCTGTTGGGATATGATAACAGGAAAAAAAACTTAGGCTCAAAACCACATAGTTTTGTTTTATTTTTGTTTCCTAACTCCTCATGCTTCGTACCCAATGTTGCTGATTAAGGGACTCAGTTTCATACTGTTCTTATTTAGGACTATAGGAGGATCACAATTCTCTATCATCAGAAAAATTGCTCATTACTATGGAAACATAATGGGTCACCCACTGGCTCCCAAAGTCTTCCATCTGGAAGCCACACATATTTCATTTTATTGGCCAAAGCAAGTCATATGTCTGTGCCTAACTTCAAGTGATGCAAAGAAGTCTAATTCCTAAAGGAGCAGAACCATGACAATTATGGCTGCTACAGATAATCATTATCCACACTTATAAGTCAATAGAGTTTGGAGTTTGAGGTTTATTTGTATATTTTCTTTCTTTTTACCAAAAGAAATGGAAGGTATGGTGAGAAAATAATAAGTGGCTTAAAAAAAAACTATCATGGCAATGCAAAATCATGTACTTTTTGTGAGATTCTTGTAATCCATAGTAATTCATGTCTACTTTTTGAAACTGAGGAACATATTCATCTTTGTTGATATTAGCAATTTCAGCAATAGTCAGGATATTCAAGTACTCCATGAATCCCTCCACCTTTTTTTGTTTCTCTTTTTAGTGTGAATGATATTGTGGTTCTTGGGCCAGAACAATTCTATGCCACCAGAGACCACTATTTCACCAACTTCTTCTTGGCACTTTTGGAGATGATCTTGGATCTGCACTGGACTCATGTTATTTTCTACAGCCCCAAAGAGGTCAAAGTGGTAGCCAAAGGATTTAGTTCTGCCAATGGAATCACAGCCTCACTAGACCATAAGTATGCGCTCTTATAATTTTTCTACCTTTTGCCCTTGACATTTTGCCAAACTTCTTCCCTTAAGAGGAAATTGTTTCTTCAGGCTTGAAGAGTTAGTATATGAATGGAGGGATCAGGTGTAGCCAGGGTACACACTAATGTGTAATCTCAAGCAAACCATATTTCTTGTGCTTCAAGTTCTCTCTTACTAGAGGAGGAGTAGCATTTAAAAAAAAAAAAAAAAAGACTCCTTCTTGTTCCAAATTCTTACATGGCTTTAGAAATATACTTTTTAATACACTGTAAAGCAGAGTAAGTATGCAATACTCCTGACCCTGATGAGGCTAGAAGGTATTTAACCATTAATACTATGTCCAGTTACCCAAAAGCTCTCATTAGAGAAGGAGGTCCACCTTAGATTGGGCATTATGATTATGTAATTTTCGGGATTACTGATTAACAACAGTGGACTTTTCAATGACTAATTTAAGCAGCATGAAATTTTATGAGGAAACACTCTTTATAAGCATTTTTAAAATGAAGTGGTTTCTCTCTCTCTCTCTCTCTCTCTCTCTCTCTCTCTCTCTCTCTCTCTCTCTCTCTCCCTCCCTCCCTCCCTCCCTCCCTCCCTCCTTCCCTGTGGTACTGGGGGATTGAAACCAGGGGTGCTTTTTCACTGAACTACATCCCCAGCCCCCACAATTGAAGACTTTACAAAAGAGAAGTAACAAGAATATAAGAATATATAAATTTGAGATAATAAACAGAGATGATTTTAGTGGAAAAATACCTCTAAGTATTTTTTCACTTTCAAAAAAAATTATGATTGAGCTTCATGGTCACCTGAGACTTTTTTTCAAGCGTTGGTCTTTCTGTAGTCTTATAAGAGGTCTTTTTACCTCTACTTGAGGTAAGGAAAAAATTGCAACTCTTCAGAATGAAAATTGAGCCCATATATCATCTAAAACACCAGTTTTGTTATTTCATATTCAAAGCCTGTTTAAAACATTTCAAGAATATTAAAAATACCACTCCATCATCTTCTTTTACTGTAATTTAGAAAAGCATCTCAGTGGTACTTCAAACTAATGTGAATGTTTATATCTCTTCTCCAAAAAAAGAGTTAGTGTCATATCTCATTACTACTTGCTCAAATGTAAATTTTTTATTTACTTTAAAGGTATATCTATGTAGCTGATGTAACAGATAAGAACATTCACATACTGGAAAAGCATGATAACTGGGATTTAACTCAACTGAAGGTAAAATACCCTAGCTTGCTCTACAACATGGCATGCTTAACCCTCACACTCCACCCAGGTGTGTGCTCCTTGACTGAACCATCTATGACTATTTTAGAGCAATGCTGGTGATACTGTGCTTTTGCTTTGCAAGTGAAATAGCAAAGCCAATGCCAGGTTCAAGTTTCAGGAAGAGCTTGTAGGAGGTGGGGAGAATAGGAATGACACTGAAAATTGTCTCCACAACTTCTTCTTTGTTGATAGGTAATACAGTTGGGCACCTTGGTGGATAACTTAACTGTTGATCCTGACACTGGAGATATTTTGGCAGGATGCCATCCTAATGCCATGAAGTTGCTGAACTATAACCCTGAGGATCCCCCAGGGTCAGAAGTAAGTGCTTATATTTCACTGAGCTCACAGGTAAAGTTGCAAGAATGAACAATTTATTGAGGTGATGTGGGTCATACTTGATGTTCCAAAACTGAACAAATTCTACAAATGAAAAGTGTAGAGATTTGGGCAGAATAGTCCTTTCACATCACCAGGTACCAATATAACATTAATGCCAGGCAACGTATTTCATCCTTGCAAGGGTTTGATTTGCTGCTGGGAGTAATGAGAAAACATGAGCTTAATAATTCATATAGATCCAAATTGCTATATAGTGTTTCCAACCAAAAGGTGGGCTCTGAAAAGGTCCTCTGCTTAGGCAAAGAGAGAGATGAGTATGGAAGTATCGTCTTTCAGACTCCTTAACATGAGACTGAAATAAGAGTGTTTAAATGAAAGTCTCAAAATTAAATGAATTTTTGCTTGTAGATACGATCATGTCAAATAATGTCTCATTTTAAAGGTTTTATTTGCATTATTTTTTTTAAATCTCTTCTAGAACTGAGATTGTGGCTCAGAGGTAGAGCGCTCACCTAGCATGCGTGAGGCACTGAGTTTGATCCTCAGCACCACATAAATATAAAATAAAGACATTATGTCCACCTATAACTAAAAAAAATAAATAAATATTTTTTAAAAAAATCTCTTCTAAAACAATCACCTAAGTCATTGAATTTTCTACAGCATTAAAAACAATGGCATAAAGCATCGCATTTTCTGTGGCACTGAGTTTAAGAATTAAAAAAAAAAAAAAAACTCCAGTGAATGTAATTGGAGCTACAAATCCTTGGCACACATCCTCTGATTAATTCACAGACATTTACTGAGCACTTGTAACATGTCAAACATTGTTCTTATACCTAAGACAGGTCAGAAAATAAAACATACAAAGATCCCTGTTCTTAGGGAGATGAGGGCAGGCAATGAACAACAAGCATAAGAAATAAGTAAATTATATCATAAGTTCGAAGTTCTATGGGCAAAACAGAACAGCAGGGCAAAGAGGGTCAGGATTTCTGTGAACAAGGCCTGGGTTGATGCCAATCTAATAACCAGGACACAGTTTTGAGAAAAAGGAAAAAGATTTTTTTGCTTTGCTAGCAAATGAGAAACACAGGGAACTCTAGTCCGAGAGGTTGTGATTCTGCTCATCAAGGGGAACAGAGAAATTTTAAAGAGGTGATTCAAAGGCTACATTCCAGGTATTCCCTGATGGGAGAGGGGGGAGGGTTGAAATTCACTTGCTAGTTTGGGAAAGAGAGAAAAGGGGGGAGGGAAATGTCCATTTTAAAATAAGTCTCAGTGGCAGAGCAGCAAGGACTATATTCAAAGCATGAGGTAGACCACTGTTAAGAATATTAAATACAGAGATCAGAATTGACCTCATTGAGAAGGTATGGTTTGGAGGAAGATACAACATTTGAATACAGGTTTGGGGAATTAGGAAACTGAAATTTAAATCCTAGCCTGGTAATTGGCCCAGTGGGTAAATTAGAACATACAATTACTTCTGCTAAAGAATATTGCTGTTTTTCAGCTAAAATTGTTTTCTTTTAAATTAAAACATTAGTCACTGCTTCTCAAAAAGAGCACCAAGATACAACTATAATGCAGCAATAAAAAAAAAAACATGGAGAAAATATAAAAAATTTAAAAATTTAAAAATAAAATAAAACAACTAATGGGGGGGGGGAAGGAAACACCAAGAAATATAAAAAGAAACTAAATTCCAGCCTGAGCTTCAAATCTGAAGAATCCTTACACTGAGCTAGCAAGCTATCTTTATTTCAGGTGTGTGTCCTGTGCCGGTGCCACTCCCACCCAAGTGACAGATATAAATAACTTTGTGACAAAAGTCCAGCCACAACATCTGCCTTAAGGAAGTGCAAATAGAATCCATAGAATGATTGGGAAGGAGGATCGTTTTTCACATCTCTGTTTTCAAGTTTGAGCACTTGTTTATTTTAGATAAGATTTATTTCTTCACAGTTGCTGACACCCTTTCCTTTCAGTAGAGTCCCTTTTTTTTCTGTGTAAAATCCAAGCTTGAGTGAGTGCTGTGTAATAAACTTGAGATGAAGTTGCAGGATCTTCCTTAAGATGAAACAAAACTAAACCCTAAACTTTGTTTTAACAGGAGGTATTTATGTAGACTCTTCACTCACTAATTTCTGATTGTTTTCCTTTAGTTTCTGTCATGTTCTGCTTAAATGAACTTTATCCAGGCTGTTTGGAAACCTGAGTGCTTATTTATTTACTGATTAGCAAAGTTAAGGATGTTCACCCTGAGGATCAATAACAGCACTAGTCACTAATATATTAGGTGGGATTCCAAAGTAGTCTGCGTTCTTTGTGCTCCCTAGCCACTTGGGAGACGTGAAGGGGTCCAGCCATGATGACTACTACCTACCACCCCCATACCAGATTGACTTCGGTGGCCGACTGGGGTTTCCTTTTCTGTTTTGTCCCATGTTATCTTCCTCATGCTTTAGGCTCAAAGGCAAGACCCTCCCCAACAGAAGGAAAACCACTGCCCACTTGCAAGTTAGATAAGAGTGTTCGCTATGTCTAACCTCCTTCTATAGGGGACGACTAAACTACCACAATTTTTCAAGCTCTCTATTGAATAATTTGGCTAATGTCAGATAAGCAATCCATTTTATTACCTAGATATTCTTAGGACATTAACGCTATTGTCAGAAGATGGAAGATTATTTAATATATACAGATTTGAGCCTATTAATTTCTGAAAAATTTTTTTTTCCTGGTATATTTGGAAAAGAAAATATCACTAGATAGCCATTTGCCCATATAATATACTAATGAGTGATCTTGTCTTGACAGGTACTACGCATCCAGAATGTTTTGTCTGATCAGCCCAGGGTGAGCACCATCTATGCCAATAATGGCTCTGTGCTTCAAGGGACGTCAGTGGCTTCTGTATACCATGGAAAAATTCTCATAGGCACAGTGTTTCACAAAGCTCTCTACTGTGTACTCTAAATTGCAGGTATTCTAAAGAATCTACATGTTTGATGAAAGTAAACGTGCAATTATATAATAAGTTGAACTGTAAACAAATAACACATACCATCAAAGGTGTGCCTTGCTTTTCTTATGGCTAGAGGTGAAAGAACAGAATTGATTACATAACATCCACCAAATCTCAAGCCACCTAATGACAGTCCAACTAGAAGTCAGATTGCTCCACTCTTCTTCAAGCATCCCCAATATCATTCTACAGTAAAATACATGGGCTGTGGCCATGGAGGGCTCTAGCTCACCTATAGCCCCTTAGAACCTGTGTAACACAATTGCCTCCTACAAGCTGTGACGTTCTGAGTCTCCTACAGTCCACATCAGGAGAGGAGCTAATGTTCAAGCATTTATAATTCCTGTTCTCTTCCCCCAATTGTGTGGGGCACCAAATGTTACTCAAGTGTCCCAGTCTACAGCAAAAAGCAAGAACTGGCATCATGAGACTACCCAAGGCCCTGCTTGAACATGCATTCTCCCCAGTAGACACACAGGGAATCAGATTCTGGGAAATCTGACAGAGCAAAGCCTCACTGGCTACCTTAGGACAAGGACAGGGGTGATGTATTTACCTGTATGAGGTCACTATTTGTACCAATACCTGTATTTCAAGTGTTCCTGAGCTGCTTGACTCTGAACCATGAGATGGGAGCTCAGGGCACTTGTTTTCCACTGCTCTCAGCTTGCTCTACAGGTTAATTCAATAAACACTTATTAAGCATCCTCCTACGGACTTGGCACTAACGTCTCTGAAAAAGTCACATGGTTCTGATCTAAAGTCCCATCTTAAGAACCAACCCAACCTTAGTTTGATAACAGTAAACACAAGCATCCCTTTCTTGTTTACAAAACAAAAATCAAGACAACCTTTGACAAATCATTAAAGATAATCAGTGCACTCAAGCTCCTTATTAAGCAGGTGGTTGGTTGATGTTTTTTTACTCCTCCCCTGGGAATGGGGAGTTGTGGAGACCTCTTTATATCCTAAAGAACATTGCTCAGCTAGACGTAAGTTTTGCTGAAATATTTTGTAGCAGAGTAGATGGTAAGACTTTGTAGTTTTCATTAAGAGAGGAATGGCCCAGCATAATATTATAGTGAGTCATCATATTTTAAGTTTCAAAATCATAGCCACCAGGGGACACAGAAAAAAATAGAAATTAAGGGCATGTATACAATAATGTTTATTTGTTTGTTTTTGTCCCTTACCCTCACACCCACTGAATTACATAGCTTACTGGACTAGGACAGAATGTAGAGTATCAGCACTGAGAGGACTAAGAGAATTAAGATATTGGTGGGTTCCTGTCAATTGACTCTGCCCTGCCTTCTCCCCAGTTAGGAAAATCTGGGTGGTAAAAAATCTCCCCAGAAGTTTGAGGGATCTGATTGCTGAAAGTCCACTATGTCCTTCCTTGGGCAGTACTTGGGGAAGTAACAAAGTCCTGGGGTTCCCCTGTGACTAGTCCAGTGCTAAAGCAGATAAGAAATGCCAGTATAGTTCACTTGGCATGGCAGAGAAGCTCTGAAAAAGCATCACAATATTACCTGCACTCAGATTGGCACAGAAGCAAGCAAGTTTCCAAGTGCCCGATAGGGAAACGGGTATTAGCAGAGAGAGAGAACTAGGATCTATAAAGGACTTCCTATCAGGGCAAAGATGGGTAGGCATTTGATTAGAGTGAAGACAGGAAATTAGATGGTAACAACAAGGATCAAATGTCTCCTATGAAGCTACAGATCCACAAAGCCTCCTAGGATTTAGACAAAACTCTAAGGATTGGCAGGGAACTGTGGAATTGTCTTATAAATTGATTTCTGCAGCCACTCAGTATGGGGACTCAAAATTAAAATTACATGAGGCTACGGGAAAAAAAGTAATTTCTGATATACTTTATGGTTTTAGCTTTTTCACAGTTGGAGCAGTACAAAGTAGAAAAGACAGAAGTCTTTAGCTAATGGACACATGGTTACAACCTTTCATTGATTTTTCTGTAGCTAAGACCAACTGGCTACTAAGTTGGATGCTTCCTGAGATGCCAATGGAAGACCCAGCTCCAGTTAACCTCTTGTACACTTTGCCCCCGACTCACTCTCACTCTTGAGGCATTGAGTTCCTCTCACTCATGTGTTACCATTTCAGAAGAGAGCCTGGCAAGACGAAAACTTGGATTTCACCTAGATTAGGCAACTTACCTAGTCTTGCCAAAGGATAGGAGTGTAGGTTGCCTCATTATCATCCTCTCTATGTTCTGTTTCCTTCTGAGGAGGAGGCAGTATGTTTATCAGTAGTCTGGACAGTCATCCAAACCAACCTCCCCTTCTTGTGAACAGTCCCATCTTTCATGTGATTGCTCTGTCCTGAGCCTCTTTATGAGGCTTGAGAAGAACTTCACCAATGACTTAGTTTGATGGTTCCTTCTCTTCCCTTCCCCAGTCTTTCTGCATATTGTCAGAGATGTAGGTTGGTGATACTAGCCTTATGATTGGAGGTAGCTGAGCTCTCTCAGGAGCCTTGCATAATGAGTGCAATATTTGCCTACAAATGATTTCAACTATTTTTAGGATATGGGATATACTTGGTGCTATGTTTTTGTTTTTTTTTTTTTAATCTTTGAGGCCTTAGATGCTATGGTCATAGGAATATTCTTATTCTGCATTCATTTTATAGCTAAGAGGTTTCAGTTTCAGGTGGCAGAAACCACTCTACTTAGTTTAAGGAAAAAAAGTGATCAAGTGCAGCAGAAAGTTCACAAAATGCCTAAGTATTCCCATTTAGACTGGGAGTAAGACAAGATTCTCATCCTGACTGCTGCTTTTCATTGGATCAGAAGTCCTGGCCAAAGCTGTAAAACAAGAGAATGATTAAGAACCATAAATATTGTAAAGGAAGAGATAGAACACTCATTATTTGTGGTGACAGGATCATTTTCTTAGAAATAAAACAATAGAAACGAGATAAGACACTAGAATATTCAATAGTGTTGTCATATATAAGTCAACTACATCAGCAATGACAACTATAAATTTCAATCAAAGACAATCTATCAGTCAAAATGATGACAAAATCTATATAATATCCAAAAATAAATAAGTTAAGAGTGTACAAGAACTTACGGGAAAAAAATCAAAATTTTAATAAAAGTTTTGTGTTACTCAAATGTATTACTGTAATAAAATACCTGGGAAGATCAACTTATAGGACTAAAGAGTTATTTTAGCTGATTGGTTTCAGAGACTTTAGTCCATGGTCAGTGGCCTCCATTGCTGTGGCCCACGCTGAGGAAGAACAGCCTGGTGGAGAAGGCATAGTGGAGCAGAGTTGCTCACCTCTTGGTGACTGGAAAGCAGAAAGAAAGGGAGGGACAGGGAAGGGCCTGGAAGCAAGATACACTCTCACAGGGCACATCCCCAGTGACTCACTCCCTTTATCTAGGTCCCTCCTAGAGTTTACAGCACCTCCTGGTAGTCCATGCTATGAGTCAGCCAATGGATTAGTCCACTGATGAGGCTGGAACCCTCATGATCCATTCATCTTCCTGAAGGCCCCACTGCTGCACTGGGGACCAAGCCTTCAACAATGCACTTGGAAGATATTCCAGATCTAAACCATGATAATTCTAGAAAATACTCTGAATACACAGGTATATATTTTAGGATCTTGGATAAAGTAAACTTGTAAGGATGTAAATTCTCTCCAAATTAGTCTATAAATTTAAAATCCAATAGAAAATTTTTAGGATACACTTATTTAAAGTTTACAAGGAAATTTTTATTTCTTGTAATACAGTAGGTTAAATAATTAAAAACCAAACTGCCTGATTAAAACAGCAAAAGATGTGCCAGGTACAGTGGCACATGCTTCTAATCCCAGCAGTTCACGAGGCTGAGACAAGAGGATTGCGAGTTCAAAGCCAGCCTCAGCAACAGCGAGGCGCTAAGCAACTCAGTGAGACCTTGTCTCTAAATAAAATACAAAATAGGGCTGGGGATGTGGCTCAGTGGTTGAGTGCCCTTGAGTTCAATCCCTGGTACCCAAAATAAGTAAATTAAATAAAATAAAATAGCAAAAAATAATAATAGATAAAAAATTTTAAAGTATTTTAGAAAGCATCAAATATCTTACAAGATTAAATGACATCACCAAGACACAATTTGGAGTGAAAGCAAAAATTTCAGAGATTCAAGTAGACTTGAATCAAGTAGACTTTGCCTTGCAAGCTTCTTCTGAACTAGTTAAACTCAAGCTTTGGAAATTAAGGTCTCGCAGGTGAAGGGGGTCAAAAGTTAAATCCTAAGTCAGTCTGAAGAGCCTAATAATGGATCACCTTCTATTACCCCAAAACCCTGTGGCCCTAAAGAACTAAATATCCAGCTAAGGTTGAAATAAATGTAAACCAGCCCCATAGTCTACTCCCAGAAGCATAAAAAGAGAATTGTCTTGGCACTGAGAAAAGCAGAAGAAAAATATTTAATATTTCTGAGAAGTGACAACCATGTGCCTGACTATCATCACTCAAACCTTGAGCCCAAATTCCCACTAATTGGTCAAAAAAGAATTTCAAGCTTTGAGAAATTGAGAGTCGGGGCTGGAAGGAGTAGCAGGGATGGAGGGATGCAGAAAGGTTGGTCAATAGTGCCAAGTTACAATTAAATAGAAGTAAGACATTCTGGTGTTCTAATGCATGGACGGGTGACCGTAGACAACAACAGGGCACCCTATGTTTCAAAAAGATAAGAGAAAGGAATTTGAATGTTTTTGCCATACAGAAATGATACATGTTTGAGCACAGAGACATTTTTACCCTGCATTAAATATTACATAATGTATATGTGTATCAAAACATCAGACAGTGCCCCATAAATATGTACAGTTTTTATGTTTTTACATATCAATTTTTTAAAATCTCAAGCTGTGAATTTAGTGTCAAACTATGATAGGTTGGTACTGTCGCTACTCATCTGACAGGAATGAAC